TAAATAAAAGATAATTAAAAATAAATAAATAAATGGATAAATAAATATTTATAAATAGAAATTAATTAAATATCACTCGGGATCTGATAATATCTCATGTTAGATAATCAAGTAAAAGAGTGAATGGTGACAATATTAATAATGATAAATAGAAAAGTATAGATAATATATAATGCTTCAAACATTAAATTATGATTATAATAACTTTAAAATATTAATAATAATGTGTTCATGATGTGATCAACTAAAATAAAATCTGGAAAATATATATAATTTTATTAATGAACAAATTTATTATTGATTTATTACATGTTTTTAATTATTTATTGATTATTTTCAAGACTCTTCTAAGATTTTGTAAGATTCTTTTTCTTTAAACTAAGATACATGTTATATTTATAGATAAATTATAAAAGTTAAATTATCAATAAAAATACAAATTGAATTGAATTTCAAATTGAAATTCAATTAGAAATTCAAATCAAAATTTGAATTGAAATTCAAACTGAAATTCAAACAAAAATGCAAATAAAATAATATTAAATATTAACCAATAATAAAATTCATATTACAACATATATTAATAAAATGTATTGTTTGGGGAGTGCCACAAATCAGATGACTGTTGTGGAAGGGTGAGCCTTATCGGTCATGTCTAATTATTGTTGGTCCAAATAAATCACGAGAGAAAGGGTACTCTACTAATAAAATGAAATCATGTGATTTGTGACCCTTCCTTAATATTTTTGCCTCTAAAAATCATGTTTATTATATACTAAATACTAATTCTTTTAGTATTCGTTTTCTTTGTTAAAGACGCACCGCAAACAGGAAGAGGAGAGGCAGATTAAATCAAATTTTTTTATCGAGGAAAAAATTTTTTCATTTACTTATCACATTTCACGAAATCAAACTTCAAAAAATGAATTCATATTTACTCATGCAATAAATAGTAGTACAGGCATAATGAAATATAAAGTATATCGATATGTAAGGAAACTAGCGATTTCTCTTTTGTTTTCTTTCTAATCTATATGCAGCAATTCGTTCTTTCATTTCAACATCTACGTAGAAAAAAATTAACAAATTAAAATATATAAACAAAAATTAAGTTATTGTCAAAAATATCCTTACCAGGTATTACTTGATCAATGGAAAGCGGTTTCCTATTGAACGGATCTTTAGAATCACTTAACAGGATTGTAGTGATAGTACTTCTATCAACAGTCTTCCGAGATTCAGGAAGAATAACAGGATCTTCCATAAGATGACACATAAGAGGATCTATGGATTTGTGAATAAATTAAAATTCCTTTTATAATAATAATTCTTGCAATTGAGATATAACATTAATTAACTACCTAAGAATTCATCAGGCACGTCTTTCAACTCTTCTTCGCTCTCTGCATCTAACTTGACCGTTTCCTCAACTCGATTCACAAACATCTCTAATTTCTTAATGTCTACCTCGTCTTTCCGTGAATGCTTAAGCATGATAGCAGCCGCTTTAGAAAATAATTCTTTTCGGTAACTTCGACCATCACGTGCGACTGCTTGAATGAATTCGCGCCGCTCGCACAGGTTCAGAAATAAATCAAGAATATCAGAGAGCAGATCTCGCGGACGAAACCGATATTTTTCTGGGTTTTCGACTCGAAGTTCGGTCGATTTCGGACCAACTAATAAGGCGAGGTTATAGTCCAACATAGCGGCTAGACGATCAACTATTTCAGGTGTAAGAAATGGTTCGATCACTTCTTCTGTCATAGATTTGAGCATTTGTACTGTTTCATCTCCTAATGTCATATAGGATGTTGCTTGTCTTTCTAAAGACCTTAAAAATCCTTCGCGTTCTTGACGATTTTGCTAATTATAATTTATTATCGAAGAGTGAATTTTATTGCGACTAAAGTTTCTCGATAATCATTTAATTACCTGTGATCGGCTCTCCCATTCTACTGTATTTCTCATTTCCAATTGGATATTATGAATTTCTGCAAGCTTCGTTAGACATTCATCCAATAAATAAGTTGCATCATTCATAAGTAAGTTTGCAAATCGAACGAAGGATTCTTTTTTTCTGGATTCAAGGATAAAAATAAATCAATATTTGGTTGAAAAAATTTAAAATTTTTAGAATACTCACAGACTTTCTTCCCTTAATTTTTCACGGTGTGCCGAATTATACCAGATGGTCTTGAAAATTTGTGAAATGTTGTATCGAATATTAAACTTATCATAAAATTGTGAATGCATCCCCGTTTGTTCAACCTCTATCATTATTATTATCATTAAAAATCAGTAAACGATTATAATCTTTTGATAATTTTAATAGGAATAAATATTTATCGAATAAGCAATAGTTATTTACCAACATAGAATGACATTAAAGCCGGCATCAAGTGTTTCAAAGAAAGCGGATGTGTATTAAGTAGAGCACCCAAGCCACCTTCAGGTTGACGTCGGAATGGAAGAGTGAAATAGAATAAAATCTGCAAAGAAAATATCAGAAAAAAAAAATAAGAAACATTCAAAATTAAAATACTAAGCGTGACTTCTTACCTCAACTAGTTTAGCTTTTAAATAAGGATTTTTGATATACGACGATGAACGTAAGAATGTGATAACGAATGTCAAAAGTTCGTCTCGAGAATTTTGTACAATCACCATGGGATCCCATCTGAGTGCATGCCAATGGTTATTAATAAGCAAATATATTGAAGATGCATAAAATGACATACCTTGAAATGAATAAAAAGAATTCGGTTATATCTTCAATAAAATATTCTGGTAGCATTGCAAAACGTTGTGGTGGCGTGGAAGGAAGTGGTAACCTAGCAAGCAAGTTCATAATATGAATAAGGTTTAGGAGATAACAATTCAGAAAATATAAATATCTGAGATAATTTTTCCATACTGTATCATTTCATGTGGATGTTTTCCTTTTGGATCTATTATTCTCACAATCCAGGTCATCAAAAGATTGTAAAACTCCAGCGACTGTGATAGTAGACGTTGATCCAAAACTTGTGTCTCATAAGCCAGTTTATGTGACGTCATTTTATCTAATTGAATCTAGTGCAAAGTTAATATTATTAATACGCATTCAATAAAAAATCAAACCAAATAATAACCGCAATCTTACCTTCCTCCTTTCAAGCACGGCTTCGCTTAACATCCTAGTTGATGACTGAAAATTACGCCACGAGTTAAGAGAGAGGTTGAAAGATTAAATATTTTCACATATATTCTGTACACATACCGAAGCCATCATTATTGAATGTTCAGCCATGGCTCTATCATATTGCTTCTGAACTTCACTCAGGTCTCTAATGAGATTATTATATTTATTCAGAATATTTAAGAATCCATAATGATGCATGGCTATCGTGATGAAAAATATTTCCGAAGTGAAATTTACTCCTGCAAATTTTGAAGTGTTGAGAAAATATTTTAACAGGGAATTTCTTGAATTTAACTGAGGTTGTAAAATTATAAAAAAAATCACCATTCTCTGGTTCATTTTTATAATATTCGTCAGATTCCTGTTGGTTGGCGCTTATTTTGGTTTCCTGACTTATATCAATTCGACGACTTTTTCTAAAATAGTCAACATCAATTCGATCAATCTATAAATAAAAAAAGTGAAATTTGTTATAATATTAGGCAGAATAATCAAAAAACATCATATGCAATAAAACCTTCGAGTAGTTGATATCAATAAATGGACTAGCAAACTTGATAAGAATCGTAGTCATATTCAATAGAAATCCGTCAGTGCCTACTATTGCAGGATCGACCTTAAAAGAGAAATATTAAAATTATTTCAATAAAATCAAATATATTAAAATAGTATAAGCAAAATACATACCTGCATTTGAGCTCTCTTTTCATTTACTTTTATTATAGTTGCCCAATAACTTAAAACTGCTTCACGAGCTTTTGGCGATGGTGAACGCACGATATTATTGAAGATTTGAAAGAGGGTATCCTGAATCGTTGAATAGATTTCATAAATATAAATAATGTCATTCATCCGAAATTGAGCATTAATAATGTGAATTTACTTGAATCCCTTTCAATGTTATTCTTATGCTTGAAATTGCAGAGTCCACCTCATGTTGTTGTCGTTGACGAGGATTTGAAACATAACTGTCTATAATTGTTGGCTATTATTAACAAAATACAAAATTAAAATACATCTAAATTGGCAAAAGGGATCATAATTAATCGTAAAAAAAATTTAAAAACCTCATCATCAGTGGGTAATGCAGAAAGTCTACAAAATGGGCCCATAAATGATGCGACTTCAAGAGCTCGTGCAGGAAGATTTGGCGGATTCCAGATTTCCAAGGTTGTAAGCTATTTTGTAGAACTAATTAACGAGCATTCATCTCATATATTAAATCAGAGTTATTTTTAAACTTACGATAGACGCGAATTGCTTTATTTCGGTTAAGGACGTCAATGTCTTTATATGAAAAATAATTAGATTTGATATATAAAAGTCAATATGTATATATCCCTTACGATTAATACTTACACGTAAAGGTGATCCGAAATCTCCTAATATATTTTGTGAACGAATATGCACCCCTAACCCTAAAAGTGCAGGGACGAATATCTATAATTTTGTTTTTGGAGAATTTATAGTTAGCTTTTTATTCGTCAGGCTCAATTATTTCCTTGTGTACCATAGTAGTAATAAACGTGCCCGTACTTCTTTCATGCCTCACCTCTTCAAAACCATCTTGCTCAAATCTAATAATGAATTCCCGAAGAAAATCCGTCGGTAACCCTTCATTTGTATCGGAGTCAGCTAATAATCGCGGAACAAGCTGTTGTGGACCTAATGCTGTGAATCTAAAAACGAAGATAAATTCGATACAGCATATACACAGAAGTAAATCATCAATAAAAAAATAAAAAATTTTTTGCTCACGTGTCAAATTGTGAAAACATGTCGGGCATCTGAATAACTAATCCAGCATAAGAGACAGTGAGCTCTTTGATTTTATCCATCACTGCCACTCGCTGATTCAAGACCTTAGGATCTAATGACTTGTAATCCAGAGCAAAGATTTTTAATTAAGTATTCATTTAATTTCTTATGCAATTTTAATAATAGATTTTGTACCTTTCCACGGGAAATTAAATTTCGTTTGATTTCCACTGCTCGTTTCCAGCATTCCAATAAATAATCAAATAATGGGATTTTTGGCAAATTGACAATTGCAATCAAAGTATCATTATCATCACTCATTTCCTGAGGATTGATCGACAAACGAGAAACCAAGGCACGATCAATAAGTTCCGCTGATAGTTTAAAAGGACGCGACGCGTTCTCTAAAGATTAACCGAATTAAAATTAGAATTTGCCGATTCTGATATTGATTCATTGATCGAATAATCGACTGTTCATAATAGGGAAGAAATAGCATTTTTATCGGTTCCCCTACCAGGTTCTTCTTCTCTTAATTCGGCCACCAGAGAATTCAGATAGATCAATTGATTTGAACTTTTTTCGGCCGCTGATTTCTTTTGAGAGAGACAATGTTTGATAAACGCACGAGAAAAAAAAGAGGCCAAAATAATAATGGTAAATCATTTGTTTGTTTGCTTCGAAGATGCTAGTGATTTTTTTATTTTTATTTATTTTCAATAGTATCATCATCACAAATAACAATGTAATTATATTCACGATTAATGCTTTTTTTGGATGGCTTAATAGATTCAGACCATCCGAAAGAAACTTACATCAAGAGTGATTTGCAAAACCTTTGAGATGGCATCGTTCTGCCAATCCTCGAACGATTTTACTGGCATTTGAGATTTTGAAGTTGGTGTTACGGGTTTCTTTATTGTCATTGTTAATAGGAAATATTAATAATCCAATTCATCAATTATAACATTTCTTCTTTATAAAATCGTATACAATGTTTCAAGATTCTATATTGGAAGGAAAACAAGCCCTTTCGGAAGTTGTTAGTATTTAAACAGACAAGAGACTACATACGCTCACAACTTCTTCGCTTTGTTTGATCTTCTTGGCAATAGGTGAACTAATGGCCGAACTTATCAGCTTTGCAGGACTAGATGCTGGTTTCGGAATAGAAGTTGAAGGTCCAGCTAGATCATTTTGAGGCTCTGCCTTTGGCTGCTGTAGCTTTGCAAGACGCTTTAGCCTTATCTTTTTTAAAGTAATAAGTTATGTTAATCAAGGAAACAAATTTCACGTATAATTGGTGAATTCAATCTGAATGAATCGAATTTCAAGGTATCATTTACCTTTTCAGCATCAGCCTGGGAAGGCAGGGCTGTTGTTAGGGGAGTGGCTTGAGAAACTCCAGAGGTTGATGGCAATTTAGGGTCACTCTCCATAGTGTTTAAATTTCGGTTCAACAAAAACGATAAAAATGTCTATACAAAAAGATTAACGGAGTTTGGTTTATTACTGCTATCTCTATCGCTATGTAATAATTTCACGTGCTCACAAATTACAAATTGCTTTATAAAGCGAGAATCTCTGATTAAAAAAATTAACTTTCGAACTTTTCTTTGGCAGGAGGTGAAACTTGTAAACTTTATTATTATTTTTTTTTAATGATAAAGTGTGTTCATCGCTCTTTAGCTTAAGAAAAGAAGAATAAAGATTGTTTACTCCGTATTATCTACTGCGCTCGAGATTTTATCATCAATTTACTCGAGTGTGGTTCGTCTAACCGGAAACATTTAGTGAAACAAAAAATTCTCTTGCATTCTTGTTTTACATATAAACATGGCATTATCAAGAACTTTTAGATTAAATACAGGAGCTCTAATTCCTGCTGGTAACAATAAACTAAGATTTATTATTTTAAAAATAAATAAAATAAAGATTCACTTTTTATTATAATAATAATAAAGTTGGGTTTGGAACTTGGAAGAGTAAAAGTACTACAGTGAAAATAGCTGTTGATTGTGCTCTGAAAACGGGATATCGACATATCGATACAGCTTATGCGGTAGTATTAGTATTGTTATTGCCAATGCATGTAGAATGAGTAATTCCAATATTTATTTCATTATTACAATACAAAATCAAAGTACAAAAATGAAAAAGAAATTGGTGCAGTTATTGCAAATTCTACTATTCCTCGCGAAAAATTATTCATCACCACAAAGGTAATTTCATATTTCTTTAATTAATTAATCAATCAATCGAGATAAAATAATTATGTTATTTTGTAGTTATGGAATACATTTCATGCTAGAGAAGATGTTCAACCGGCTTTAGAATTGTCGTTAAAAAACTTTGGATTGGACTACGTTGATTTGTGTGTTTTTTAATAAAATTATTTGTTTTTTTTTTTGTTATAAAAATACTCATTTTTTTTTAATAACAGATATTTAATGCATTGGCCATTAGCAATGCGAAAAAGTGAATTTTTAGAACCTAAAAAACCGGATGGTACATTTGATTGGGTGGACATTGATGATGCGGAAGTTTGGTCGGAGATGGAAAAAATTGATCCATCCAAAGCGAAAGCCATTGGTGTCTCTAATTTTAATATAAGTAGACTTGAAAGATTGATCAGTAAAGCCAGAATAATACCTGCTGTTAATCAGGTTGAATTACATCCATACTTACCTCAGGTATGTTCATATATAATTAATAGTTGTAGATTCATATTTACTTCTGTGAAAATAATTTATCTTTTTAATTAATATTAAAGTGGGAACTACTGGAATTCTGTAAAAAATCTAATATACACGTTACAGCTTATTCTCCACTCGGCAGCACTAATTGCCCATTGCTCACAGATCCAACGTTAATAGCGATTGCAAAAGCAAATCAAAAGTCAGTTGCTCAGGTTTTAATCTCATGGGCAGTTCAACGTGGAACTTCTGTTCTCCCGAAATCAGTCGTACCATCCAGAATCAATGCTAATTTTAATGATTTTTTGTTGCCAGCTAAAGATTTCGAGTCAATTAATGAGATTACAACTCGTAATCGCTACCTAAAACCTGAAGGTTATCCTGATGTATTTGAAGATGGCTTATAAACCGAATATTTATTTAAGTTTTGATTATTAATAATTGATTAAATTTAATATAGCTATCAAAAACCAGATTATTTATTTAAGTTTTGATTATTAATAATTGATTAAATTTTATATAGCTATCAAAAAACCAGATGAATTAATTAAAGCATGCAAGACAAAAGTTGGTAATTATTTTTTAAGAAATACAAGTGAAAAAAATTGTTACCTTTGTGATCAAAAAAAACATTAAAGATAAGACTAATTTAGTTAGGCTTATAAAAGTTACACTAATAAATTTATTATATTCTATTTTTTTTTAACGTTAAGATAAATTGGTTGTGATTATATCTAATAAATATAGTAATGGCGTTATTTCACTGCATGTATGATCTTCACACAAATTTTTTTAGAACTTGGAATTTCATAATCTACTTGAAAAATGAAATCTCCAGAAATACTATTTACAGAGGCAATTCTTGACATTACCACTCCTAATGGAGTTCTGCGTTGCATCCCCGAAGATGTCGAAAAAATATTCTGTGCGAGAGCCAGAACTCAAGCTTATTACGGTGAGATTTAGAAAAAAAGGAAGCTTTTCTATCACTTGACAAAAAAACAATCGCATCTAATACATTTAACTAAATACATTTAACTACAAACTAAGAAAAGACGAACAACTGTTTTTCTATCTTATCGTGCGTCTTTCCTCCGATTCCGGCATAAATGACCATGCGTCTGCTACTGCCTTTTTTCAACAACTTGAAATTTTTGCCGAGGCTTCCCTAATCGATGGCAGTGTTCTTTCAGCACCATCACCTCCACCACCTCCAGTTTATCGCCTTCCGCCAGGAAGATCGCGGTCCAATTCTACTGGAACTTCGCCTACTACGCCTACCTCACCATTACCCACGCCAATGGACAAAAAGACACCAAAGGTTGACGGAACTGTGATCTATTCTTACGTTTATAATTCAAAGGCGAAGGATCGTGAAATGCTAGTTATATCTAGGAATGAATGTTGGTGCTGCATTGCGCCCTTGGCTGTGCCTGTAGGTAAGTCGAATTTTAAGAGTATTAATTTCGTATATTTTAAAGCTCGGTTGATTATGATTTATTATTTGACTTTAGTTTTATAACTTTTGATTATTTACAGCATACGTAAAGACTAGAGCACAATCACCAGCTTTGGCCCTGACAACAATAGTCTCACAGCGAGCACAAACTCTTATACAAAAAGATTCTGACGATTCTAACCCATATTCGACTGATAATTTTACCACTGTAAATTTATTTCAAGGACTCTCGGATGGCAAGTGAAACTTTGGTATTTTTTTTTTAATTAAAATTTTTTAATCTATTAATTTATTTAAATAAAGATCCCTCGTTTGATGAGTCAACATCAAGTTTGGTATTCCCCACTTCTCGAATACATGCTGCTGAATCCAAAAGACAAAATACCTATCCTAATTATCCGATGCCTGTACGACCTCAACCCATAAAGCGAACTGTTCGTAAAGTTCTACCAGTGAAGTCCGCTTTAAATGTTCGAATGCGAACTACCAGTGTCTCGCCTTTAGATAATGTTTTAATGATGTCAGTTGAATTAGAAAATAACACTGATGCTGGAAGTGCTTTTGAGGTTGAGGCTGTTAAAGTCGAGATTGCTAGTGGAATTGTGACGAAATACGACTGGGGAATTGAGAATAATGTTAGTTTGAATTTTGGTTTGCGTTTTTGTTACGCAGTTTTTTGTCAATCGACGATTCTTTGTTCGATTTGTTTCCCCCACTATAAATCCTTATTTGAGCGGATTATTACATTGCAGAGTTATTTGCTTAGTTTTTCATTATATCAAATTTTTATCTTTTGTCTGACTACAGGATAAATTTCCTTTAACTTTGCACCCAGTTGATCAAGTTACCTTTTTGTATAGCATTACAATACTTGAAGAAGCTGTCGCTCCCAAAAATTCACCGCAATCCTTCCCTCCTCCTAATCCTTATGCATCACGCGCCTCTTCGCGTCGATCTTCAATTGCCTCAGTTTTTTCCTCGAGCTCCACCGTTGCTCCAACAGAAGATCGACAACGCCACGTTTCTATCGTCGTTCGAGGATCACCGGCACTGGATGGTGTTCGCAGTCGTAGTGTTGAATCGCGTTGGAATTGCATGTTAGATTTGAGTAATCTTCGAAGGCGTGACGACTCGATGCCACCACAAATTCCGGGTATACCAGGATATAATCAGAGATTATCCATGCAATATAATTCGATGAAAACACCCACTCAAGCTGCAACTCCTTCCAGACCTGCAAGTATTTTTTCTCCGGGTGCCATGACACCTACTCCAACAAAAGGAACATTTTCTGCGGGTGGGCAAAGAACATTTGCAGGCTTGCCAACTATCCCGGATAATGATGTTTTAAGCGCGGTAGGTAATGGAATACTCGCCGCTACCAGTAAAAAGATTGCCGATAGGGAGACTAGTGACGGTGTTGTTGTGTCATTTTCCGGTTGATTATTCTATATTTGTTTTTTCTTTGCTGTTAATTTCAATATTTATATATATACATAACGATTATTGATCATTGAAATTTCTCTATTTTTTTGATTTACAAAAAAGTTGAATCGAAAGTAATTATTGGTAAAATTTTTACCATACAAGTGTTTATAGTTAACCGCTCCAAGCATGTGAGGAGATTCACAATAGTAGTTCCGAATAGAAGACGCCCTAATGACATGTGAGTGAAGTTTATCAAAGAAGTTTTAAGATTACAAGCTTAGCTTATTAATTTAAAGAACCGCCTAATAAAAGGGCATTGAAACACCTTCCACCGTTACCATCTGGTGGCAAGCTTCCACATCCGGAGGCTTTAGGGCATGGACATTCAACTATTGAAGCTTTCATGGAAGAAGCAGGTTTAATATATGTTATGTTCATGCTACATGAATTAATTGATCTCCTGAATATTTTACAAGATTTTAACGTAATATAATTGAAAATCCCAAAGAATTTTTGAAACGATATCTGGAATTTGAAACCAATGAAGCTGATATAATATGTCTGGAAAATAATGTGCGAATAGGGTAATTATTTCATCTCAGATTACTACTATTTATATATATATATATATATAATTTTCCATCTGGATTAACTCACTATAATCCGTTTTGTAGTCCATTAAATCCATCGACGTGTGAATCTGTTTCCCTGCATTTTATCGCAATTCGCGAATCCTTACATGTAATTGATTTGGTGCAACTCGTAGACAATGATACGGGGTTTATCACAAATCTTCGAAATGTCTTGGAGATTTATGTGGGCAAGGGGAATAATGGTAGCGTCTCAGTTAAATAGAATGGGAATGGGAATGGGAATGGAATTGTCTATTTAAATTCGACGAGATATCTATTTTTTAATTGAATTATTATAACTTGTGCAATATTCTGTTTGAGTTATTATTTCCTCTTGGAAGATGTTTGTTAGCTCTTATTTATCTTGGCATGAAATTACTTGCTCTTGGGTTTTACTTGGCACAATAAAATTTTTTTTATAAAACGACAAATTATTATCGTCGTTAAATTTGCAATTCAAAATTCTGGCCTGCATTTTAGAGAAAATATGGAAGATCCAGATGCTGATACAGAATGGTAAATATTATTAATACTCGTTCCTCCTATCCCCAAAATTCAACTCACTTTCCACGTGTAGGAATGACATTCTCCGCGAACATGGTATTCTGCCAAAGAAAAAAGGACCGACTGAAGATGAAATCTTTGAAGCAATGGAAGAGGTGATTGCGGCGAGAAATGAGAACCGCTTAGATGCAAAGTCGCTTGACGAGTTGGATGAATTAGAGGATGAGGAGGATGATAGAGTGTTATTAGAATATAGGTTATTATCGATTTAAGCGAATGATAACTGTATCAAATATCATAATTGATTAATGAATATGTAATAATAGAAAGAAGAGAATGGCCGAGTTAAAAGCTGAAGCAGAACGCGCGAAATACGGGCAATACGTTCAAATATCTAAACCTGATTTCATTCGAGAAGTCACTGACGCGAGCAAGGAAGATTGGGTAATAGTACATTTATTTAAAGATGCGTAAGTAAACAGACTTTTAACGTGTATGGATTGATTGATCAATCGGATAATTATATAATTATGTTAAATTAGGATCCCCGAGTGTAAATTAATGAACGCTCTTCTAAACACACTAGCCGCGAGATATAAATCAACAAAATTCCTAAAGATAGTAGGTGATGATTGTATTCCAGGATATCCGGACAGAAATCTGCCTACTTTGTTAATTTATGGAAGAGGCGATCTTCAACAACAGGTAGTCGGTATACAAAAGTTCGGCGGGATGGGAACAACAATTGAAGGTATTTTTCAACTAATTTATTTAGTTTTGTTTCACACATTGCTTATGATTAAACTCAAAATATAATAATTAGTACTAGAAGAATTCCTGGGATCAGTGGGTGCTATTGAAATTTCTAAACGAAGAGACCCGAAAAATGATCATGAAGAAAATTCATCAACACGGAAATCGATATATAGCAAAAACTCTGCTACAGCAGCATTGAGTGACGACGACGACGACTATTCAGATTATTAGTAAGGAAGAAGATCAAAGCTCAAATGTACATCTCTATATATTATGATATCCTATTGTGTGAAATAGATGTAATCCCCTAAATCACTGTATTTTTGCTGTTGTAAATTATTTTCACTTATAAGAAATTACCGATTCTTATGAATTATAGATCAAAACATTTCTCATTGCCACTGACAGGAATAATTTCGCAATAAAAATCTCTTGCTTCTACTCTTAAGAATTTTTTTTACGTGTAAATGATGTTAACTTTTCGTACGACCTCTTACCCTGCGCTGGCAAAAGTTAGTCACACTAATTGAAATTCAAAAGAGTCTGAATTAAAGTATATATTATATTGTGGTTAACATCAAGCTTCGAGAATTTATAGATATCAAATAAAGGCAATGTGGGCGGATAGAATATATATGCATTTATCGGAACAAAGAAGTTTCAGTTTTAATTGATGAAAGAGTTGAGTGTCTAATAATGAGGCGATGGTGGTAGTGATGATGATATAAAAAATCATTGATAAATCAAACAAGCGAGTTTATGTACGGATTGATAAATTCATCATAATAATCATCAAACATTGGATATTCAATCGTCGTTCACAAAATGAATTGGACTGGTGGTAAAAGGTTTTTATTTTTTGTTTATTCATCTCATCTTGTAATAAATTCAATATTAATAAAATTTAATGATATAAAGAAACACGATAAAAGGAAAACATGAAAAACAGAAACAACGAGAATTCTTTAATCGACAAAGACTACGAAAAGTTCGTGTTTTTCTAAACTCAGTGCCGGAAAAAACGCGTCGACTACCAAATATCGATTTACTTTTTCATCGTCATGATCATAACTCCACTACAAATGATGACACGAAAAATCATCAAAATTTCAACAACAACAACAACAACGACAACAGCAGCAGCAATAGTAATTTAAATGTGGATGATGGCGATGAAGAGATAGTTACACCAATTGTTGAACAACAAGAACAATCTACTAGTACATGTCATCGAGAGAGTAATAGCAGTAATATCGATTTTCTTATTGACAATATATTTAATTACGACAATGATATTGAATCGATAAATGATTTTCGATTACGACGAGAAATTGCTGAAAAATCTAATAAAATATCAGGTCTATTTATCTCTTTTCTTCTCATAATCATTAATTGTTTTAGCTGTTAATTATTCTTGATTCATATAAATAGATATTAGGACGCGCAAGAAAAATCTTTTAAAAGATATTGATTGGGCTGGTATTTCCTCTTCTATGGTATGGCTTATTTATTTCTTTATTATAACGTTTTTTTGATTTATAATTCGCGTCTTCTTTCCTTTTTAGATCAATAAACCTCAATCGAATGCACAATTTATGTCCAATGATGAATATGAAGACGATGCAGAACAACAACAATCTGGTAAAAAAATGAAGAAAGTCAAAACATGTTATTCTAAATATACATATTAAATCAATTATATTTTTAAGTCCACGATAATAATAGTCGATATCGTGAGGATAATTTTACGCGATCTTTTTCTCCCGACGTCTCTTTAAATGCAAATCAACATCATAATACTGAAAATGATCACGAAGGAAAAAATAAGGTTGAAATAAGGTAAAGATTAATTATTAAATATTTTAATAATTAATCTTTTCAAACTGAATATTTATTTATGTTTAGCAACGAGAGTTCTTCTGTTAATGGTGATATTCAGTCTACACAAATTGACGAAACTGCAGATTCTCTCTCGCCAAATTGGCCAAATTCTACAATTGCAACACACTCAATTACCGTCGAATCATTGAAATGGCATAAATTTCTATCGAGTGTAAATGAACGAGAAGAAACCAAGGAGGAGACAAATGCTAATAATAATGAAGACCCTTCCTCATCAACAACGACGATGATAGAAAAAAATCAGATGGAATTAACATATGACTCAACATCACCACCTAAAAGCACTTTACCGAACGATTCATATAATGATGATATTGGTGGTGGTGATAATTCTTCAATTGGTCATAACAGTGAATCAATAAAATCAGCATCAAATTTGGCATGGAATAAATTTCTTAATGAACAAGATAATAATGAAACATTTTCAATAAATAATAAAGAAAACAAAAAACTTCAAAGTGATTTTTATGATGACGTGTACAACGAACAACAATATTTGAACTCTAGTTCTATTAAAGCAAATTACAGTCCACAACTTAGTCCCAGAAGAATTATTCCTACAACAACAAGAACTATCACCACCACTTCTATCAGCGATGATGATGAACGTGAACATCGAGAAATTAACAGCAATAATAATAATTATTATGATGCTTATATTTCGGGGAGTCATGGGGATGATATTTCAACGAAAGAAACACCACCACTATCACCATCATTACAATCATTGCAAGCAGAAAATACTAATAATATTAACAATAGCAACGATGGTGGTGATGATGATGATGATGATTATAAAAAAAATAATGTATTTTTTATGAAATGAATTATATTTTGGTTTATTATATTTCATTCAATCATTTTCTTTTTTTTTTATATTATTCAAATAGAGAGAGTTAACTCATCAACTTGAAGTAAAAATTGTTCAACTTTCACTTGAATTGAGTTTTCTCAAAGATGATGTACGAATGCTGAAAGAAATTATCAACACTACAACAACAAATGAAGAAAATAACGAAATCATTGGTTTATCTTCAAATCAGCAACAGCAATGCAAACAACCGAGCAAAGAATCCACAGAAATTCCAACAGAACTGACAACAAACAAAACATCTAGTACTGTTGCTGTTGTTACTAATAATAGTCAGACACCAACAAACATTAAATCATTTATTCAACAATCAGCTACTACTTCATACTCTTTATTCAATATAAAAACACCCGAGAATCAAATTCGCCATAATGATTTATATCCTACTACACCAACGAAACCTCACAATACTATGATGTACTGCTCTATTGATGATGATATTTTCATGGATGAATTTTAAATACTAAATACCAATGAGTTCGGTGCAATTGATGGGAAAAATCTTTATCAGGTATATTTTCAACCCTATTATCTGAATTTTATAATCAATTTTGATTGTATTACAAAACTTTTAAGAAAACTATTCTTGATGAGCTGGGAAAAAGGAATATGAACCCCAGGAATCAAGAAAAAAGTGTAACATGCATATAAACTTCCAATATACATATCGATATATATTGTTCTTTCTTAATCAAAAGAATTCTGCTTTAAACTCATCCAAGAATTCTGTTTATACATCTCAAGAATTTTAGTTCTACATGTATATTTAAAGATTTACTCCGGGTACCTTACATTATAATAATAGAACAAATACATGGGTAGGTCTTCAGATAGATTTTCGACCAATCAAAAGTCTACATGTAATTCGCGTAATCATAAAAGAAATGGATGTGCTTCGTTTCTCTGAAAGGAAATGCAGAGAATAAATACAACTTTCTTTTCTTTGACTTTACTATTGATCTTAATACTGTCATCGGTAAAGGCACCTTCACCGCATCTAATATATAAGAAAGACGATAATACTATATGTAGCAAACTTAGTGGGCACTGCTATCATAAAGTGTTTCAGCCAACAAGCGAATTTCAAAATGTGTTGGAAGGGCAAGAAGTACCAACTGGTATTTTTCCTTACGATATTATTTAATTTAAACAACTCAAACAAAATTGTAATACTATTTCTTTCGATAATATTTTAGGTCTTCATATACGTGTAGACATTAATACCGGCATGAGACAAGCAAAACTATTAGATGCTGATGAAACAGCTACAGAACGTACAAGTGTTATTTTACTCGACGAAAACGGAAATTCTATAATAAAAGAAGAAACGTCAATCACAACAACGATTTCAAAGATAGATGAAGAAATAGAAATAGAAACACCAAAAAAAGCAAATTTCCATAAACAATCCGATGAAAAAAATTCTTCGTTACCTTTACTAGTCAACACTCCAAAACCAAATAAACACATCCCTCATTCAGACTATGAATCTTTTGATGGTCACTTGAAGACTTTATCACAATCCCATGATGCGCCTATTCAAGAATTGATTAACGCGTTGGACGGGTTAGAAGATTTAGTGCATGAATTGGATTTTGGTGTTAGGTTTGCAAATAGCGATGGAGTTTTAATGGTGATTGAATTGTTGTACCATATTAATAACGAAGTTAAAGTGAAAGCAGCAACGGTTCTTGGTACCGCAATGCAGGTAAATAATTTTTAATTTTTATTATCATTTTTTTTGCTTTATCAATTTTATTAATTAATTAATTTTATTTTGATTGTTAGAATAATCCATTTTCACAAAAAAATGCAATTAGTCTGAATCTAATTCCAAGGCTGTTGGATATTATCTCGTACAATCACGACAACAAATACTCGTCACGTCTTCTATACGCATTATCAAGCATTATACGTGGCAATAGTGAAGGTGTTCAATCCTTTTTATATGATAATCAAGGATTATTACGTCTAGCAGCGTACTATGCATCAAATCGAGACGAAGAAATACGTGCAAAATGTGCGATATTTATTACCGATTTATTTGATCCAAAAATGGTGACGACAACGTCAGAATCCGATAAAAAAATAAGCTATAATAATCATCACCAGCATCAACAGGGAATTGATGAATGGTGTCGACAATTTCAAAGTTCGTTATTTAATTTTGGCAATGGAATTGATAAAAATATTGGATTTGATTCACGTGAGAAAATTCTTGGTGGATTGGCAATGATAAAGGGTCAATATCCAGACAATTGTCATGCTCAACCCGGTCTCATAAAGTGGCTAGACGGGCAAAATAGCGAATTGAGAGATGAACCAGAGAATTTTGAAGAATATATACAATTAATTAAAACTGTTCAAAAGACATTTGAAATTTGAAATATTTTTGATTATCATATTAATTATTTCTAATCTAATGTACACATATTCAGACCATACACCAAACACTTTCCGAAAAACATTTCGAATCTTATCATCACCGCTCATTCATTTTCAATGAATTAATATATTGTTTAGGTTTTTATTATCCTTTCCCTCATAGATGTGCATATTCTTTTTTAATATTTCCGCTGCCCATTCATTTTCATTACAAGCTTTCGCGGCCCTCACAAAGGTCTCAATAATTTTATGGTCTGGCTCTAATCCAAATTTCCCCATATCATTCCAAACAAGCTTAACACCCTCAAAATCTTTTTGCAATCCATAAACGTCAGCCAAATTACGAAAAGTCATTAAACTCGGCACGATGAGAAATCTTTGCATTTCCGTGACGCTTTTTATCACTTCATCCATTTTACCAAGTTTCCCGAATCCTTGTATTAATGTATTGAATGTGACCACACTCGGTTGAATCTCTTGACTCAGCATGAGTAAATACCAGTCTCGTGCTTTTTCCATGTACGCTTCGGAATCTTCATTTTCTCGTGTTTTGGCAATAATTGCTGCATGAAAATTGCCGGCAATCATTATGTTTATTGTGACAATATCAAGTGAACAATTCCATTTTTCCATCATTTCACTTTGGAGAAATTCCATCGCTGATTCTGGACAATTATTTCGCATGTATCCTTTTAGTATCGCATTAAATGTTGCCGTATTTGGACGAACTTTATTAATCCTATTATTGGTATTAGTATTGGTATTGGTATCGGTATTGTTAATATCTCCCAATCTAGCATATATGTTCAATGCTTTTTCCAAATTATTTTGTTGTTGAATATATTGTTGAATCAATGCATTGTATGCATAAGGTTCCGGAGACAAACCAAGTTTCTCTGCTTGTAATAATGCATGATCAGCTGCTTCGAGATTTCCAAAATTAGAAAAAGCATTAATTAGACTGGCAAATATCTGACTATCCAATTTACACCCTTGATTTATAATCTCTTCGTACAATTTCTTTATTTTCTCGTAACCATCTGTCGTCAATTGTTTGGCGTATGTATTGATCAAAGTACAGTAAGTCGTGGAATCCGGGTTTATCGTTCCTTTCGTTTTCAGTTTGGAGATTTTCTTCCAAACTTGTTCTAATTTTTCAATGTCTTGCACTTTTTGACAGGCAGTTAATAACGCATTATATATTTCTATGTCATATTTCACCCCGGACTTGAGCATATCCTGAATTAGAATTTCTATATGTTCTATGCGTTCTGTCAAGGTTGCCTCTTCATTTTGACTTTCACCATTTCGCTTTAATAACCAGGCAAGATTTCGATAATCAACATAAAGTAGTCCTTTATCAAGTGTTTTATCTGAGGTGTAGATTTGCCAAGCAAGATTTGCATTTCCTTCTGTGATTGCCTCGCGTAAAAGTCTTGCAGTGTTAATATGTGTCTCTGGCGGTGCTATAATTGCCTTGGTTTTCACCGACGTGTGAGCTACGCGCTCTGATTTACTCTGTAAACTTGCTGTAGTAGAGAAGGAAAGGCGTTGCTGTTTGTGAACAGATTTTGAAACTATTTGAATGATTGGTTTTACGTGGTCACTTTTTTTTATTATTGTTCGAAGTGATAAATAATTGAAATGTCGTTGTCGAACTTGATTCAACAAACCCCACATCTTTTTTTTGACCAAAAATTTTTACGTGTGATCATCCGAATTATTCGACAGCAATTTTTTTTTACGTGTTTTTTTTGTTGGCATCTATTTGGAATGTACACAGCATACGTGAATTTTCGTTTGCTTAATTTCCTCGGAACAACTTTTACTTGACTCTTATTCAATGTCGGAAACAGAAACCTCGACACTGGACGCCTTTCTCTCTTGGGCGAAAGGTATGAATCCGATTCTTTATTTGAAACATTCAAAAAACTTTTAATTCATCTCTTTTTCCTTCAATTCGATCTATAAAACTCAGGACATGGCGTTGAGTCGGACGTCGCGGTTGAAAAAGTGCCTGATAAAGGATTGGGTGTTGTAAGCAAAAAACGTCATTTTCGAGATAATTCAAGAGTAATATTTGTACCCTCGGTGGTTCTGGTAAACGCGTCCAAAATAACCGGATACGCCAAAGAAAAGGCACCGAAACTCGAGTCTTTCTATCAGGCCCTACTTCGCGATGGATTCCCAATGAATGAACGTATTATAATAATATCTTTCATATTATTTGAGCAAGTTGGACGTGTATCTCTAGGGGAATCTGCTCCTCCACCGTCACTTTGGAAACCTTACTTGGATATCTTACCGAGAAAACTCCACACTCCAATGTTTTATAATGCCACTCTGAAAGCTTGCCTTGATGGAAGTAGCCTAAGTTCAGTTGTGGACGCAAAATTGAATAAGCTTAAACGTGAATTTGATTCGTTTAAACCATATTTTAATAAATGGAGACCACCTTCATCTACTCTACAACCGGATGCTGCGACAAATGTTGATGTTGTTACATTTGACGATTTTAAATGGGCTGATGGGGTATTCTGGTCGCGAGTATTATCATTTGGAAGTAGAATTGAAACTTTATCTATCGATAAATCCTCACTCGAGTCCGGACTCGATGATTTTCATCTGGTCCCTTTCATAGATATTGCTAACCACTCGTTGACACCATTGGCTCGATGGGAAGTAATTACTGATGGAGTTGCTGGGGCAGAATTAATATTAACACAAACTAGCAACCGAGAACCAATTCCATCAGAAACTGAAATCTGTATCTCATACGGGGAAAAATCAAATTGTGAACTTCTTTTCTTGCACGGGTTTGCACTAAAGGATGATCCATGGTCGGCGATATCTTTTCCAGTTCCATTCTTCGAGGGTGATCCAATTGTTGATGAGAAATTATCATTTATGAAATATCATGGAATCAAGTCATTGGTTTCATTATCAAGAAAAAATGAAAGTATTGAACTATCGCATGAATCCATCCGAGCCATGTGGCTTTGCGTTTTGAATGAAGGTGATGGACTAAAAATCACACCCTGCGAAACAAAACCATATCCTGTAGAATTAATTATTCGTGATAAGGTCGTCAATAGCGTCGAGATGTTGGACAGTGTTATACAAGACTGGGAATTATTCCCAGTGATTGATGCGCGTGTTGTCGAGATCATTTTGGATGCTGTTGAAAATCTCTTGTCGAATCTAGGGGAAACTAACGAGCGAGTCCTTAAATTGATGGAGACTGCGAATTCGCGCGAAATTGAATATATCAAAATTTATCGGGAAGACGAGCATCGATTTTTGGAATCCGCGGTCGAGGAGTTTACGAGAAAGCGTGAAACTTTGATGAGTAACGAACTAGTTGAAAGATATTTGGTGGAAGAAGAATAATAACAACAATAATATAGGTTTGTCTTTCAAAAAAAAAGATTTTTTTTACATATTGTGCGATATAAAACTTAATTTTCATTATTTTTTAGAGTTTAAATGTACCCATTTCAATTTATTTTTCTTTATTTAAATCATTTAATAAATCCTGGATGACTTGAGAGTCCTATTTTTAAATAAAAAGATTAGGCCAACTTTGAAAAGTAGCTTCTAAATTCTAAACAAAATAAATTAATAGAATAATCTAATGTATAAGTTAAGAAGTACCGGTTCACACACTTATGTTAATATAACGCACCTTTCACATCTTGATGCTATCGTGATTACCGAATCACTCACTATCTAGAAATAAAGAAAGAAAGAGAAAAAAAGACTAAAGAAGGAAAGATAATGAAAAAAAATAGATTGATGGCATAATAATTTGTCTGATGATTACACTGATTGTATATACTCTTCTCAATCCAATACACGCTTGGTATATAATACAACGTAATAATGTGGTTTGATTCTTAACCAGGTCCGACCTAACGAAGAAATGAATTATACGCAAAAATAATCAATCGAAATGATAAAAAAAAAAATACATTTTTCCAGTACAAGCACATCATTTAATAACGTTATTTTACCTTTGGAATGTCGTAATGCTCAGTCATTTCTTCGAGCTTACGATTGAGTTCCTATTAGTTTTGAATTTGAATATAATACAATTGATCGATACTTGTTCTAATCACAAAATGCCTTAACGAACATCAGCAAGAAAGACAACATACCGCAACGCGTTCTTTATGAGACTTCTGAGCAGCCTTAATAACTTTTTGTTCGAGCTGCATAGAAAATAAGTATTAAACTTGCATTCAGCACAGAAAGCAAGCAACAGTATCGGAAAGTTAAATAAACTCTTTTTGCTGAGTATATCTTACTCTCTTTCGTTGAATCTCTTCAAATTTCTTTTCGGCCTCAGTCTTTTCTACAACACGGATTAGTGGTTGCTTTGGTTTCTCTTCTTTGACAATTTCTTTGGCTAATGAGGTGATTTTTTCTTTTTCCTTGGAGGATTTCCTCTTCTTCCTATACAACAGTCATTCTTGGTCAAACAACATATAGAAAGAATCAAAGCTCTTCCAAAAAACGTATTAAAAGAGTACTGACTTTTTAATCTTTGAAGAATCGCCTTTTAATTTTAATGCTCCACCAGCAACGTTTTCATATTCTGACATAATTAGCACAAAGTTCAATTATTGCTATATTCATACAATTAAATATATACATATCGATATTTTGAACCTGCAGATCGAACCAAAAATAAAGAAAGATCCGCTATCAATCGGAAGCCTAGTACCTAATCTTATGATCCATAAAGTATTACTATATAAGCAGATCAAGGTGCAACATCGTCTGCTAGTCAGCACGATTTCTGGTATGTTGAATACGTTTTCTAAAATCCCCTCTCCTAAAATTCTTTTTCAAAATTTCATTTATAGTATACACAATGTAATTTTTTAAGCATAAACACCAACACATTATTATTCCTGCGAGAGTAGATCCATTTATAGTGAGGTGTCGTCCTGCAAAAAACCGAAACCACTACGGTATCTTTTCTCTGTCTGAAACTAGTCTAGCAAACCATGAACTCCTCAAAGCAACGTCGACTAAACGACCATTCGGATGATGAAGGTTCTCATCATCACAGTCGTGACAAATTTAAGAGGGAGCGACGTCTGAGCAGAGAAGGTCGAGAACGCGATCGTGAACGTGATAGGGAACGTGATCATGAACGCGACTACACTGACAGGCGGAAAAGAGACAACAGTGCTAACTCCGAAGATAGAGGTAATATTTTTTTGATTAATTTGGAAGATAATGAATTAGTATACGTTATGAAATAATTTATTTCATTTTTGATAATTTATTTAGATCGGCGATTCAAACGGCGTCGTTCCATTTCTCCTCGGAGAGCACCTCCGGAAAGTAGTGGTGGTGATCATTACGTTCCAAATTATGACAAAGATGGATATGTACCAGGTCCTAGATATGGTAGACCTGGAGAACTGCGTTATCCTCCTCCATTTCCTGTCATGACAATGGGTGCGTAAATATACCATACTGATTTTTTGTTTATTTGCATTCTCTTTGATATTGCCATGATTCATTAAATTTTCAAAAGGATTCAATGTTCCGCCACCTCAAATAATGCCACCTGGAGGTCTGATGCCAATGGATTGGGCTGGTCCCTCCGGAAGGTAATTTAATAATCATAAAAAATTTATATTTTTCAATTATTCAATATCTAATCATAGTCATAATAATGATGATGATAATAATAATAATTAAAATTATAAAAATAATATCAGAGAAAATCAAAAAGATCCTGCTGAATTAGATTTTTTGGTCACCTTTAAATATTATGCTGATTACGTGTCGAGTCAAAACCCAAAATTGCATACAGAGGAGGATGAACTTCACAAACTTTATACAAAATACAAAGAAGAGTTTGGCTTGCGTCAACTTCGAACATTTTTTGAAGCCCATCGTAATGAAGAATGGTTCTTGGAAAAATATCATCCAAGCCATGTCGCGAAAAGAACGACCGAAGTTAATACCTTAAAGAAACAGCTCTATGATAAATTTATCGCAGAATTGAAAGCTGGTAAATTTGATGCGATCTGCAATGAAAACGAAGAGCCAGAAACTACTACTAAGGAGGATGCTGCAGTAAAGACGGAAGGTGAAGAGTTTTGTCTTTTTTGTGTTCCTCCTTAATTTGAATATTATAGAAATACTGACTTTGTTTATTTCTATATTTAGAAACAGGGACAGAAGTCAAATCTGAGGTGGACGATGACGGAAATCGTCTTTTTATCAAAAGCGTGCCACCTACCATTAAGCGCGAGAAAATTATCGAAGTAAATAGATTCAAAATGATCTGTTTATGTCTATAGTGGATCGAGCTTTTATTCTAATATATAATTTATTTATAAAGATGTGCAATAAAGTTGAAGGATTCAAATATCTTGCTTTATCGGAACCTAATCCTTCCAAAAAATTTCATCGCCTAGGCTGGATTGTTTTCGAAGAAGGAACTAATATGGATGCTGCATATGAACAATTAAATGAACAAAAAGTAATTCATTAATCTTCTTATATTTATAATGACTTTCGAACTACTAGAATAATCTTTCTTTTAATTCTTTTAGGTTGATGATTTCACTTTTTATCTAGCCCGTCATAAAAATACTGGCACTGTTCGTAATCGTGTTGCCCCTGAAATAGCGAATAATATTGATCGGATTACGAAAGATAAGCAACGTATGGAGGATATTATTAAAAAACTCGACAAAGAGCTCGGACTCAACGGTTATAGAAAACTTCGGGAAAGAATTAATGTTATTTCTAATGAAAATAAACCTGATCATGTAATATTTTTTTTTGTAATCGCTTCTTATTATCTTTTGTTAAAACGATAATAATTAACAATATTATAGCATCAAAAGTCATTGGATTTGTATTTAGAATATGCACGTCGGGTTCATCTATTCTGCTATTATTGTGGTAGTGATTCTGATTCGGTGGAAGAATTCGCAAGAAAATGTCCAGGTCGTCACTTGAGGAAAAAAGGGGAATCTGCTAAAACATCAAAGGATAAGCAAAATCAGGGTGAGTCTTCATCTGAATTTATTTTTTTTTTCGTTTCTGTTTATTATCTTTATATATTAATTTCTGGTATTTAATATAAAAAGTACAATGGTTAAAGACTCTCGAAAATAAGATAGATATCAAGCTCAATCCTGAAATCGCTTTGTCCAAAATTCAGAAACTAGGCGGGAAAAATCTGGAGACGTATGTTATCGTTATAATCATCACCATAGCACTATTATTATTCTATATTGTATTGCATTGACTGATTGATCAACTTAATAGAGAACGCAATGCTTTCTTGGAAACCAATACTGTTGAAATGGAACCTGGGATAAAATTTCGATGCTCAATCTGCGGTAAATTATTCAAAGGGCAGGAGTTTGTGCGAAAACATATTTGTCTCAAGCATGCTGATAAAGTGAAAACTCTTGAAAATGAAGTAATTTTTAATCATTATTCTACTAATTCAGAATGATGATAATGTTTATTTACGCATTTTTTTTCTATTACTAGATTACTTTCCTGAATAATTATGTAATGGATCCAAATCATCTCCTTCCCACCACTCCACCTAATCCGATTGCTGCATTGAATTCGGCTCCAAATGTATCTCCTATTCCTCCAAACCCATTTCCTGTAATGGGAAATGGGCCACCAGCAATATTTCCGTTTAATTTTCCTGCAATTCTTGGTGCCGCTGCTGGAACGCCGCACGATCAAATTCCGAGGATTGGATTCGATGGACGCAATGATCTCCGCGATTTACGTAGTCAAAAATTGCCGGCTGATAGAAGACGAACGGATGCTCGTGCCAGAACAAGGTAAAATTTAAATATTTTTTGATATCTATTCGGAGGATAGAGGAATAAATTGTATTGATTATTACTAATTCATGTAGTAGTGAATTCCCCATGTCTACTGACCCTCGTCAAGTCAAATCCTATGTTGATTTAGATGCACCCGCTGAAGGAGATATTGAGATTAAATATTAATTCACTTAATAATAATAATAATAATAATAATAATAATAATAATAATAATAATAATAATAATAATAATAATAATAATAGAATTTCTTATACATAAAAATGGTAATATTTAGGGTTGTATTTTTCACACTCGTGTTTCGAAAGCCACTTGGGTTTTAGTAGAGAAATAATTGAACAAGAACGTGTATTGTTATCGATATATATTTATAATTGGCCTAAATAAATAATAAGTTCCATAATATTACATATTATTATTAAGGTGAGAAAAATTTTCGATATTAGCTAGTTAGACTACTCGTCCGACGATATTATATCGTTTCTCGAAAAAATCAAACCATTGATCCAAGACTTTGAGCTGTAAATTTTGAGAATATATAATAATTAATATTTTATCGAAAGAAATGTATAGCAATAAATATACCTGTTCGTCATTTAATGTGCTAATATCAGCTACGGCATCTTCAGGCTTTAATGAAGTTGTACCTAGAGCCTATATATAGTATGGATGCATTGCGAAAATTGTAAAATATTGATGCTAGGATTGTTAATGAACTGTTCACCACAAAATTACCTTAGATGCATCTTTTCCTGCGAAAATATGATAACTGCCTCCAGGACCATAAGAATCACGTTTCGAGCTGACATCGAATATAGTTCCCTTGATAGCAACATATACCGGTTTATTAGCAGTTTCCCCATTATACTAAAAAAAAAAAAAGAAAGGTATAAAGAAAATTTAACACTTTGATAGAAATTTTCACCAAGATTCATTAGTTAAGCTCAAAAGAGACCTCCGATAGCTGTTCAACAGTAAATGTGTCGTTTTTAGGTGGATTCAAATGGAGATTTTCTGGAATTGCAGTTTCTGGTGGTACTTTACTTTTTATTGGCAAATTAGAATAGAATTAATAGAATTTTAATGAATTTAAAGTGAAAAAGCACTGTTGGGACCATAAAGACTTCTAGTATCATTATAAATGAAATTTTTTACTACAGTTTTATATTTAGAAGACTTATAATTGTCAACTGTTATTCTCACCTCATTTTCAAAAAATTCTGGGAAATTTAGAATTCAATACACCATCTTTTATACTTTTTATACGATTCTTACGCTACTGCACAAAGTGCACGTGTTAATTCAAAGTGCATATATTAGTATATCGATATCAAATTCTTTTGACAATAAATTTGATCATTTCGTAATGTCGCGATACAATATGGACATTGACATGAACTTAAATCTCACAAATAATAATAATAATACGTTTCGAATACAACATTACGCTAATCAATTTACAACATACTTGCAAAATGAAAATTATGATCTTTTAGCTAAACTGTTGAGCATAAATGGGGAGCATTCAAAAAATCTTGCGAGAGCTCTTGACAGTGGAATCGTAAGCGGATTTTTTAGAATTCATTTTATTTTTGTTCATTTTTCTAAATAGATAACTTGATGATAACAATAGGCACGTTATGAAGATGTTCAATATAATTTCACGAAACCGTGGTCTGACATAATAGCTTCACACTTTAAAGTTCTATTATCATATTATAGACGAGAGTATATTAATGCATTTAATGCTCAACTCGCTTTAGTAAAGTATCCTTTTCATTTCACCTTTTGTTTTAAAGTTTTTATTTTTCATTAATAGCAGTAGTTATTATAAGCCTTAAATATATAATCATAAATAAAGCCTTTTTTCAAGGGAAGCTTTTACGAATTCGAATCTACACATATTTTACGTGATGAATTGGGATTTGAGAAAAGTTGCTATTGAGGTAAACATTCGTTTATATATTTTTTTTTACAAAAAATGTTAGACTCCATTAGATTTCAGCTGGGATATAATGACATTCACAAGGGAAATAAATATTTAGGCTGACAAAGAATTAAGGCAATCAGGCCAAAAACCTAAATATCTCGAAGAGACAGGACGTGTCTTGAACAAATCTTTTAGTATATGTGTGACGGACAGGTATTTTTTCTTAAGAAAAGAGGCTTTATTTGTTTGGATTGGTTAGTACCCTATTAATCTAATCTGATACTTGATATTAAGAGCACCAAAGAATGCATCACGGCAATGGGGAACTTATTATATTGCGAATTTATTGATTAAGACACATCACAAGGTACGAATGTCAAAACGAAATTTGATTCTTCTAACAGATTAATTAATAGTCACTAATTGACATATTTTCACAGCTTGGCCACGAGAATCTTTGTAAAAATGTTTTGCGAGGTGTTAACTCTGCGGACTTACCACCGCTTGAAGCTTACCCTAAAGCACATCAAATTACTTTTAAATACTACAATGGTCTGCTCTGCTTTGCAGATCAGCAGTATGCACAGGTATTATTTGTTCTATATATTCTGCATTGTTGATAAATTTTCTTATTTATTTATCGCAATTCTTATATTTAGTCCGAAGAATTCTTAAAGGGAGCCTTTAGAATATGTCCTATTTCATATACAAGGAATAAAGAGTTGAGCTTAATTATCTCTTTTTATGTTATTCTTTTTTTACCCATTATCGAAAACTTTTTGAGCAATCTACTTCTTTTACTAGACTGATTCTGCGTTATTTGATACCAGTTTGGATGATTAGGGGAGTTCTTCCTACAAATACATTAATCGATCGTTATCCTAGACTCAAGCTATTATATTCTCCATTCATAAATGCCATTCGGACAGGGAACGTCAAAGCTTTCGATTTAGCTTTTGCAAACGCAGAACATATATTAATCGAACATGGAACTTATTTAACAATTGAAAAGGCTAGAATGGTCTCTGTAAAGAATTTATTCAAAAAAGTGTACAGTATTCCGGTTTATGAAATTATATATATATATTTTATGTACACATATACATCTCCGAGTAATTTTAACACGAAAAGAAATTTTTCCATGATTAACGACTAGTTGGATTCATAACAACGAGGTTTCAAAACTCCCAATGTCCCAATTCTCAGCTGCGTTGAGATTTGCCGGAATAGATGCCGATATGGCAGAAGTTGCCTGGACTTTGTCTGTGATGATTCACAAGGTATGAATTATTAATGAATTTTAGGGGTCGAAACAAATCATTTATTTCGTAATCTTTTTCTTTTAATAATAGGGGTTTATCAAAGGATATTTATCGCAATCGAAACTGATGGTTGTTTTAAGTACCAAAGAACCTTTCCCATCACAAGTTAATGTTTGATCAATCAATAATAATACATGACATTCCTGTTACACCAATCAATTGTGGTAGAAATCTATTTTTAGTAAACGCAATGTACCCGTGTTAATGTTTATCAGTATAGCCTCACTGAATTGGTCCAAACCTCCTTTTTATTGGAGAATTGGAGAAGCTGTTTTACAGTAAAAATCATAACACAACCTCACTATGTATCCATATCTATATATAATAAATAAAAATGGAGGAACACCTGTATTTTTCTTGTATTCAATTCACTTAAAAAATGGCAGTGATGCATCAAGCAATACATGCAATACATGGACTTGTAGTGCTGCTTCTTAGCGGGGTCTTTATTTATAATTTGGTTAACGGAATTAGCGGATTAAACCAGACCGTACAATCATTTTCAGCGAAAACAAATAGTTCCTTAGTTCCACCAGCGGTTACATTATGTATTAATAACCCCAATTATAACTTCAGTATAACGGTTTATGGAGTTAAACGTGTCAACAAAGATTTTCTCTTTACCTATGCACAGGATTCGGGAGAGTTGGCAGCCATAAGAGAGCTTGTGGCAAAATGTTGGGTTAGTATTCAATTTCATTATTAAATTTTTAGGATGTTTCGATTCTTCTTTATTTATACTATAATTCGAAATAAATTAGATATTTACAACCGGTACCGAGCCACTAATACAAAGTCCACCACCTACACCCAATGTACCGGATATGGTTCTCACCTACACCAGAGGACTTCTCAGTCAAAACGATACTAACTCTCCGATGTATCTTAATGTTTTCGATCCTCTTGAACGAAGTTCACTGTTTCAGTACAATCAATTCTTGTATCTAGAGGCAGATGCAAATAGAGTAATTAGTTTTTCGAGAACTCAACATAAGGATAAAAATGGTGTCAAACATGATATTAAATACAGCATAATGGACGAATATAGAGATCCAAGTTGGACTTCTGGATTATCGGCAACCAGCAACATTACAATTCGAGCAGGTAAGCAGAGTTTGACTTTTCATATTCTTTCTTGATAGATGATAGGTAATTGAAACTCTTGTTTCTTTCTCTAGATTCTTTTATAATTTTACAAACTGAAGATAATCCACGATCAACCGGGTGGTCAATATTCCGAGAAAGTTTTACACTTTTCGGTGTACTATACTCATTCTATCTTGCTCTGATGGGCCCAGGAAAATTTAGACCTTGGGGTCTATTACATAAAATACTCAATTATCATCATATTGAACATATTCCGTATCGCAATGTAAGTGATGATAGGGACAGTTCCCCGATTGCAAAAGAAACTGGCGCACTTACTAACGAACCTAGAATAGAAGAAAGATTGGATATATATTTATCAAGATTTGACCGTGCAAAATATCATTAACGCTAATTTTTTAAATTTTCACAATGACTATTTAATATTATTTATTTTCTCATAAAATAATGCAACGATACTACATTCATGTCAGTCAAAATTGAATTTTTTAAATAAGAAAAAATGCGAATAAATATGTTAGTTTACGAAAAATATTAATCTGCTTTCGTATGACTCATCGTGGTCACTTGACCGCTCAAAGGTTTATGCGCGTTCTTGAGCGGAGGTTTCTTATCGGTCTATAATATAAAAATCAATAGATCTTACTAATTGCTCTTAAACAACCATTATGCTATAGGCGCACATTATATATAAACAAGAATTTTTGCCTCACGCGTAAAAAGATATTTGATTACCTTTGGTAGTCCTGCAGCTCGAGGCGAAGTTAGTTCGAGAATGAACATTAACATACTAGTGACAAGATATATCTCATGAGAAACGTCATGCGCAGACGTGGTATAAACTAAAGTAGTAAGCGTGGCGACACCCCAAAGAATTGAAAGCGGAATGGCCGGCTTAACGATACCAAGATTCTCGAAATGATAAATATTAACTGTGATAAGCTTTTGATTACAATTACAATTAAATTGATTAATAATTAACACATTTTATAATGCATGCATAAATACATAAATAGATAGATAGATAGATAGATAGATATATGCTATTTACCGCAACAGTCAGCATTGTTCCTGAGACGAAAACTTCAGGTGGCGGGTGATTAAATAAATATTGTGCGATATATTTAACGGTAAACATAACTGCTAAACTTCTTAGAATGAGCTTAAAATAAGAAATGAAGAAATCATTTAATGAATACGAATCTTTTAAAAAACATTTATACACTAGAATACAAACCAATTTTGCATGCGTGGCTGGTGATTCATCATTAGGCTCCGGAGGGATATACCAGTTTCCTTTGCTATTCCTATGCTTCATTGTATTTAGTGCGCTAGGTAATATCGTATATATGACCATAATGGCAGGAATCCCAGCAATACTGCATATAGGAAAAAGTTTATAGTTTACTTTCGAATTTTCTAAAAGAGTACATTTTATTTACTTGCCCGTCAACTAGACTAAGCGAAGCGAAAAAATCAATCTGATAAAAAAATAATTTCCATGAGAACTCGTTTTTGTTATTATTATCATAGAAAATGCAGCAAAACATACCCAATGTGTTGGTAAACGTGATTGAATCATTTCAAACATCTTGTATTTTAGAAAAGGTAAGAAATCGCTTCAGACTTTGAGGAAAACAATCAACAGCAGTATTCGCAAAACAAGTCTTCCCATTTTAATTGAATATCCCCGATACTAATTTCGGCGCGACTGTATGAAACATGTGATTTTAAAAAACACGTTATATCAATATAGATATTTTTCTGGGATGTTTAATAAAATGCTGGGTAGCACAAGCCAATAAGAATACACATATAATCCTGATCTCAAACCCTAACTAACCTTTATAAAATTAACCTTTAACATCGTGTCACCTAGAAGAAATCTGTGCCAGGTTTTGTTGATCTCGGAAAATTCTACTGTAGTATTAATGGTTTAATTAATACTCCAATCTAGATTTTCGCATTTCTTGTATTTTTATTGGCTGCTGGTCTATGATCGACAAAATTTCTGATGTGCTAAATTTTGCACGTGACGTAATGACACTATTTAGCTCAGCCAATCAGTTTATACATATATAAATCTATAAATCAACACCTTAAAGTGATGTCTTTCATCCTCGTTTTAAAACTTTTTCACTTAACCTACCCTTGTTAGATTTTTCCCCCGGCTTAGTTGTACATGTTCAAGGTTTGAGGTTATGTCTGGAACAGCTCTCACTACTTTACAACGCGACATGTCCAATATCAAATTAGAGCCTTCTACCCAGGTGATTCTAAGTGGCGAAACGTCGCCATCACAACCTTTTACTCCTCTATTTTTACAAAAATTCCTAATAAAAAGATTTCATGAATGGTATAGGACAATATCTACGGTTCACAATTGTGTTTACCCTACCCAAATGTGCATACAACTGCTCACAACAATGAGAATGATGGTAATAGGTCTCCGTGTCATTGCTCTGATTCAGAAGACACAGAATCTATAACAGGGTCAACTTCGATTTCTAGTACATGTTCACAAAAACTCGAGGAACAAAATGATTATATAGATCCAGAATTATTATACAATTATGAAGATCCTTTCTGGACTTCAGATACTGCATCAAATCCTGATCAACCTCTGATACCTTGGATAGAACAACTAGTCTCTTGTATTGTTTGTGGTGGTCCGAATTTTGTATTGAACTTTATCTGTGTTTGTAATGGTTGCAATAGGGGATTTCACCAAACTTGTCATAAACCCGAAATAACCGATAGGGATGTCAATCGTCAAAATGCTTTAGGTGATACGTGGTATTGCAGAGATTGTCATCTCAAGAATGGTTTAGAAAGTAATAACACATTGATGAATTGCGGTAAAGATTTGATTATTCTAATCTATTTTGATTAAGAGGAGACACGTTATAAGAAATCTAAAATTATATTGTCTTTTTTTCCTTAGAAAGCAAAGTAAATAAAGATGACACAGTGATTGAATGGAGGAAACAGCAGCAGAATGGTGATGACAATAATAAGAAGTCGGAGAATATGATGGAAATTGAAGAGGAGAATGAGGATAAAGAGGAGAACGGGGAGGAAGGATCAACGTGTTCATCAACAGAAGCTGACTTCTATTACAGATTACTTGACCCGAAGAATGGCCAAAGAGTTGTTCCTTCTAATCTATCGCCAAGTCGCCATCGTAAATTATACACGACAGCTTCAGAAATTCGAAAATTCTTTAAAAATTGTCCAAACACCGATAAGGATTTTGGTCAAGTATTTAAACCAGAAGATTGGACTCACACAAAAGAAAATATTCACGCGTCAAAAAAATCAGTGAAATCCTCTAAAGTGAATAATGCCTCTGGAAAGACTGCCAAAGTTACTGATGATGACGATAATCACGAGAAAGGGACCAATATTAAAGGAGCTAAAAATAATAAGCGTAGCTTATCCGCAAGAAATTCCATCGCATCACCCCTCAAAAAATCAGCCGGATCTTTAAAAAATACGACAATGGCTACAAGTAAAGGGGCAATAAATCAATTAAAAGGTCCAACAAATAATACCCCAAATAAAAGCAAAGTCTCGGATCGAATTGAAGAAGAGGAAAGTGATTTTGACATTTTATCATTGGTACCAGCTAATGTAATCCCATGCATGAGCTTAGGTGTCTTGTCCTTCCGAGAAGGGACCATCGATCCGAAAAGGGGACAAATCAAACGAGGACATATTTTCCCGGTGGCCAAATAACACTTTTAGATTCCTGCTTTAAATTGAAATAAATTATTACTAGATTTATGACTGAAGAATATTATGATAACCGATTTGAAATAGACCTTGATTTATTTAGCACGATTTATTAATACTACTCATAAGTTTCATTTGTTTAAGTATACTTTAAGTGGATAAATGTGTCGTTTATTGATCAACAAGAAATACCCCCTCCCTCGTCATAGAATAAAAGACTCGGATCTATATTATCTTTTTATAATGGAACGCGAAAAAATGCATCGTGGGATTGTTATTGATCCGGTTAAAGAATAGCAAAATTAATCACGTGAAATATGAGAAAAGAAAACAGATCCAAGGGAGAATAGAACACGGGATATATCCAACATTGACAATGATGAGGTAAATACACTAAACAATGTTTGCTAACTTGATATTTTCAATAACATATATATATATATAATTTATTTTTTGTGTGTGCTCTAGTGCAGAAGAAAATAAAATTCAAGTTATAATATAATAATGATAAAAAAAGCCATAAAAGATGTGAATATATGCGAAAAGACATTGAAAATTTGATAGCGAATTTTTCGCTTGATAAATTATAAAAGATTTGAACATAAAGATTGTGCATTTTTATTACGATGTCACTATAACTTGATTATTACTTGGAGTTCAAAATATTTTCCTTGACGGTGGCAAAATCATCATAGTCGTTTATCTGTACGTCAGCTGAAATACCGTTAAGTTTAAGACGTAGATAAGCTTTAGATGATGTGTACAAAGTTCTTTCTCTGATTCTACTTCCGGGCGCATTCCTAATTAATTATTTTTAAAAATAAAAATTATGTTTCAAGAAACACAGATCCATTATAATTAAATTCCATTCAAAATAATTTTTAATTTCCCTACCAAAGGAAAAAGATTATCTTGCTGCGTTTTCCTTCTCCTTCGGATAATTCAAATTCAAGATCGTAAACCACATAACGAGGTTTATCTTGGTAGTTTTCGCTTATGTAAGAAGCAAAGGTATCAAAATCAGGTTCATCAGAGGTACTTTCAACGACAACCTCTTTTTCATTTTCGATCTTGAAAATTATTCCCTTGTATTTTTTCCTCAACTTTAGCTCTTGAAAAGTTTCAATGCACTTATCGCTAACAGAAGCTCCACTACCGGCACTCTGTATATTTTTTTTTAGAAATAAAGTGTATGAACTTAAAGTCAATAGAATGATAGAATGACCATTTTATCCTGAATCACGGAATTTAGATTTTTTACTTACCATTTTGAACAAAGAAAATATGAAAGAAAATTTAAGGAACAACACAAAATATAGTCAATAAAAACGGAAAGTATCTTGGAGTCTGATTCGTTTGCGATACAATCAGCTGTTCAATATTGGCAGGAATTATAATACTTTGAAGATCATCAACTGGTGTTTGCTTAATTTTGGTCAAAGTTATTAACCACCTTTTTTTATTATTGACTTAATCTGGATTTTAATATTTTATTGATTGAATTTAAGATTTTAACTAATTTTACCCTTTTGTTTTATAATTAAAATGCTTGCTTTAGCTTATTACAAATTGGATTCTACGTTTGTTAAGCTAAATATGAATATAAATACAATCAAATTCTTTATAATCATGCTTATTTATAATTATATTATAAAAAGAATTCTGGAAATACAGTTAACTCTCTCTATTGTCAACATAACGGGACCAGGCATTTTTGTTAATATATAAGAGGGTTAATAACTCAAAGATTAGAGTTAGTATCAATATATTAGTCCAAGTGAAATTTGTTTTGCAATAAATATTGATAATAAAGAGGTATTAATATTAAAGAGATTGATAACTGAGAGAGTTGATTATATATAATCAAATCTCTTTATAGTTATCACCCTCAGAAAAGCAAAATTTGGTGACTATAAAGGGGATGTGACTATAAAGGGATTTTTTTATTATATTTATATGTAAATAGAAAAATAAAATAGGATGATTATAGAGAGGTGTAACTATAAATGGATGTGATTATAAAGAGTTTTGACTGTATAACTAATTGATAATTAAAATTGAGTTAATTTGCTTGATTTAAATTAAAAATTTATTAGTTTAAAATCATACTTTATAGTTATTACTATTAAAAAAATCAAATTAAAAGATGGTAAAGGAATATAATTATAAAGAAATTTTGTATTATTCAATATTATAATTAAAATTATAATAATTCTAATCAAAATTATAATATTTTTGGTTTATAATAACAATTGATTATTTCTTAATATATAAATTTATTAATTGATTTTCTAAATTGAAAAAAATTTAAAAATTATAAAAATAAAAAATATTTATTAATAAAATTGAAATATTTTATATAAGACAAAAATTTTAATTTTGTTTTATTAATAAAATTGCATGTATAATTTTACAATTCTATTAGTCATTATATATATTGATTTATTATTTAAATATATTATTATTTGAATTAAATAATAATTATAAAAAGATTTTTTTAGATTAATATATATTATAAAAATTATTTAATAATAATAATAATTATAAAGAAAATATAATTATAATTTAATGTTATATTATAAATAAAATTTTCTTTAATATAAAGAATAATAATATAATGCAATATATTAAGAAAAAATTATCATTTTAAAAATTTAAATAATAAATAAAATTAAAAATTTGATTTATTAAAAAAATTTATTATAATTTAAAAAATTTTAAAGAATTGATTTTGAAAAAATTAATTAATAGTTTAAAATATATATTTAAATATATTTATTTTAAAAGTTAATTAAAAATTTAATTTTAAATATTTTAAAAAATATTATATTAAAATTAACTAATTAAATTACTTTAAAATTTTTTTAGAAAATTATAAAATATTTCTGAATTAATTATTTTATTTATAATAAAATAATATATATAATAAAATACCAAATAGAATTATATAGAAAATTTTTATTAATTGAAAATCAAATTAAATATTTTAAATAAATATAATTATAAATAAATATAATTATAAAGAAATTTGATTATATAGCAAATTATTTTATAATAATTAAATACTTTTAAATATTAATTATATAATTTTAATAATATAAAAAATATTAATAATAATTTACTATATATTTATATTAATAATTAGTGATATTCTTTTAAATTAAACAAGTTCTAAAATAAAATACAAAAATAAATTAGTAATTATATATATATATATAATAATAAATAATATTTGTTATTCAGTAATTAACAAAAAACAAAAACTAGTAATATAAAAAATAATAAAAAATATAATAAAAAAAGTGCTAAAAATTATACAAGAAAATTATTAAAAATGAAAAAGAAAAAAATAATATAATTAAAAATAATAATAACAAAAATAATAATTATGATAATTTTATAAGTTTTTTAATATTTTTTGCAATAATTTTTAAAAAATATTAATTTAGATTATATATTTATATAATTAAATTATAATCAAATTTCTTTGTAATTATTATTTTAGAAAAACAAAATTGGATAATTATAAAAAAATATAATTATAAATAAAAATAAAAATAATTTTTAACTAATTATAACTTATAAAATTTTTAATTATAATAGTATTATATAAATATAATTTTATTATTAATTATAAAGAAATTTTTTATTATATTTATATATAAATAAAAAACAAATAAAAAATATATAAATTAATAATTATAAAATAATTTGACTATATAAATATTTATATAGTTTTTTATATAATTTGTATTTTTATAATAATTATTTTTTAAATTTCAAATTTTATTATAAAGTTATATTATAATCTAATATTTTATCATAAATAATATTTTATTATAAATAAAATAATTAATTTAGAGATATTTAATAATTTTCTAAAAAAATTTTAAAGTAATTTAATTAATTAAATTTAATATAATATTTTAAAATTAAATTTTTAACTAATTTTTGAAATACATATTCCTATATTATATTACCAGAAATTGAAAAAAATATAGTAAAATATAGTAAAATTGACATTGTTTCTTTATATTAAAATTTGTTATTTTATTAATAAATATTTTTTATTTTTATACTAAAATAAAGATAATAATTTATATATTCTTCTAAAATATTCTAGAATTTTTTTTCACTTGTAAATATGAAAAAATTTTTTTATAATTAAAATTAAAATTTTTTATATTTATAAGTGAACAAAAAATTCTAAAAATTCTAGAAAAATATATATTAAAAATATAGATTATTATTTTTATTTTAGTATAAAAATAAAAAATATTTATTAATAAAATAACAAGTTTTAATATAAAGAAACAATATTAATTTTATTATATTTTTTTCAATTTCTGATAATATAATATAAGTGTATGTAAATATATTTAAATATATATTTTTAAAATATTAACTGATTTTTTCAAATCAATTCTTTAAAATTTTTTAAATTATAATAAAATTTTTAATAAATCAAATTTTTGATTTTTATTTATTATTTAAATTTTTAAAATAATAATTTTTCCTGAATTTATTATATTATATTATTGATTTTTATAATAAAAGAAAATTTTATTTATAATAAAATATCAGACTGTATTATATAAAATTAATAATACTATTATAAATTATATTATATGAAATTAATAATATTATTATAAAGTTTTATTATATAAATTTAATAATACTATAAAATTTTTTATTAATTATTATTAAATTTAAAGATTTTTTATTATATACAAATATAATTTTCTTTTATCTGTTAAATATTTTTTGAAAATAATTTTGAAAAATAAATTTTATAAGAGAATAATAATTTGAAATATTATTTAAATTAATATATTATTAAACAAAAAAATAATTTTAAACTTATTTAATTAAAATCTAATTAAAATATTTAAAAATTAATATTATTATATTATATTTTATTTAGTTTTTTATTAATATATTAAAATAAAAAATTATTAGATAAATTTAATATTATAAAGTTCAATATTTATTTATAATAATAATATTTTTTATATAATAATAATATTTAATATTAAATAATAATTAATTGGTTTTATTTAAGATATTTTTGATTGATTTTTTATTTTAAATTAAATTTATATTATATACTATAGCAATTTAAAAGAATATAATACTAAATAAATTTATTAATAAATATAGTAAAATATAAAAATATAAATTTTTCTTTTTATATCAAAATTTGCAATTTTACTAATAAATATTTTTTGTTTTTATATCAAAATAAAAATAATATCACATATTTTAATATATATTTTTTTCAAATTTTTTTAGATTTAATCTAATAAAGCTGTTTTAATTATATATAAAATTAATTATTTTTTTATAATAAAATATATAAAAAATAATTGACTTTATTATTTTCAATTAGAATAGCTTTGTTAAATTAAATCTAAAAAATCTAAAAAAAATATATATTAAATATATAATATTATCTTTATTGTAATATAAAAATCTATATTTTTTATATTTTTATTATTTTTATTAATAAATTTGTTTTAGTATTATATTCTTTTTAATTGCTACTATATATATTTTATATAAATTATTTTTATTAAGTTTTAGCATAAAAATGAGTTTTAAAATTAATAATATTGTTTAAAAAAATAACTAAAATTAATTTAAAAATATAATTAAAACTAGTTTAAATTATAGTTATATTCTTTCAAAATAATTTAAAAATTTATTTTTACTTTAACATATATTTTATTTTTATAAATTAATTAATTTATATATATATTATTTTCCTTTGTGTTATATTAATATTAGTTTGCACTATATTAATTTTATTTTGTATTAATAATATTTTGTATTTTAACATATATTGATATTAATTTTAAATGTTTAATACTTGACAAATTAAAATATATAATATTTTAATTGATTTTTTAAAAATAAAAATAAATATATTTTAATTTAAATTATTATATTCTTTATGTTATTGTAATATAGATTTTAACAAATATTTTAATTAAATAATTATATTATTTATCTTATTAAATAATATTTTATTATACATATATTTAGTTATAATTTTATTAAATAATTATTTTATAATTTGTTATTAATTTTTTATTTGTGTTAATAATATTAATATTTATATAATAGTATCAATAATATCAACAATATTGATATAAAATAAAGAATTCTAATCAAATTAATTATTATATATAAAATTTATAATAAATTTTGTTATTTTGTATATATAATTAAATTTTATAGTTATTATTTTTGAAAAAGTAAAATTATAAAGAAAATATGATTATAAAGTGATTTTTTTTACTATATTTATATATAAATGAAAAAGCAAAATAGAATGATGTGTGACTATAAACAGATATAATTATAGAGTTTATCATTTATTATTGCATGTACATGTATTACAAGTATGGACCAATAAGTGTGCTTTCACGTGATAGTTGAGATCGTTAAATATCTATTTCTATTAAGTGTTCTCCAAAATTCTAACTGATTATTATGCTTTACGAAAAAACATTGCATTATAAATTTTATCAATAACTATTGACAATGTATTTTTTTGTGATTACATGTTTAAATACAAAGCTTTTACTTTTCGAAGTACTTTTCGAAGTATTTGATGTCTTTAAACTGGATACACCATATCGATATTAATGAACTGGTCATACCTTAAAAATTTAAAATTGCATCATCTCGCATTAATTAAATCTTTGATTTGTGTCACCTGAAAAAATATTTTTTTAACACTAGCTTCTATAATATTTCGAAAGCGCTCAAAAGGTAGGAACTTCTACTACGCGTAAGTTGGACTAAATTTTTAGTTTTGATACTGGCAGACAATATTTTAAAGAAGTACTTTGAAAAAAACTTTGGCGAACTTTTGCTTTGATTAAAGTTCTTTCCATCGCACTTTATATCTATTTACTGAAGTTTGTTATAACATTGTATTTTAAATATAGTAAAATGTCGGCCCAAACTATTCCTGTCACTTTTAGTGATATCGGCAAGTCAGCCAATGATCTTTTGAGCAAAGACTTTCCCGTAGGGCTTAAACTTGAGGCTAAAACAAACACTAATACTGGTGTGGTATGTACTAATCAATTTGAAATAATGATATTGATTGATCAATTAATTAATTTTGATTTCTCTAAAATTTTAGACATTTACTGTTAATGGACAAAGAGATACAAAAACTGGTACTATTCATGGTGACCTCAAAACCAAGTATATCTATCCAAAAAATGGTGTAACTTTTACTGGATCCTGGACAACTAGTAATCATCTGAATGGACAGCTTGAACTTGAAAATAATGTCGCTAAAGGATTAAAATTGGATATTATCACTTCATTGCAACCGGCAATCGGACAAAGAAACGCTAAGGCAGGAGTGATTTTTAAACAGCCAGGATTTCATTCGAAGTTTTATATTGATCTGTTTAAAGGACCAATATTCTATGGAGATGCTGTGATTGGACATGAAGGATTTGTGCTAGGTGGTGAAGGAACTTATGATGTCATGGATGGAAAAGTAACTCGCTTTGGAGTAGCGGCTGGTTATAATGCTCCTGAATATAGTATTGCTTTACGTACTTCAAATTCATTGAACAGTTATACAGCCGCCGCTTATCATCGTGTTCAACCTGATATTGAAGTTGGTGCGAAAATCCATTGGGATGCTGCTACTAATAATAACAATAATAATAATGTGACTCTTGAGACTGGTGCTAAATATTCATTGGATCGTGATACTTTCATCAAGGTATTTATATTGTCGTTATTGTATTTTTTATTTTTATTATATTTATTTGTCTTTATTGTATGATTATTATATTATTTATACTTAATATAATTATAGTCAAGGATTGATAATTTTGGACGTCTCGGATTATCCTACACTCAAAACCTCAGACCTGGCGTCAAGATTTCTTTGGGTGGAATTGTTGAAACGTCTCGTCTTAATGAAAATGCTCACCGTTTTGGAATTTCTCTTAATCTGGATTCTTAGTTTCTATTCTTCATACTGCCACCAACGACATTATTATAACTACTATTGTTTACTAACATTACTATTACCAATTATTAATAATAGATTTTTCTTGAATATGCTCATGACATTTCCATAAAATCAATCACAATAAACAAAATAATAATGATGAGTGAATGAATAAATTAGACAAAAATCTGTAATTTAATCTATATTATCCATACATATTTTATCGATTGTCTTTGTTAAACTAACTTCAACTCATAATATTGCAAGAGATTTAGACGATTATTGGATTGTCAATTAATTTCGTCTCCCACGTTTTCGTTTCCGATTATTTGATCTTTTCGATGAATTTGAGCCGCTATTACCATCACTATCACTAAATGATGAAGTAGTTGATGATCGAGAGTTATCTGAAGAAGAGGATTCACTTTCTGAGTCACTTTCGCTAGAGTGCGAGTCAGAAGTTTCTGAAGAGGATGGTGAAGTATCACTAAATTTATGTAGAAAAACATTAGATTATTCGATTCAATTACAATAAATAATTAAGTCAACTTACAGAGATTTTCTTTGTTTCTTCTTTCTTTCTTCTTCTTTCTCTTTTAAAATTTTATCTGCTATACCTTTCCTAAAAAATTATACTAATAAGAATATAATTTATTAAAATTTGTTACAAATTCTTTGAGATGTTACTTTGATTTTAAAAAGTCCGGTAATTTGGTAACTACTGGTCTCAATGGTCTAGTAAGCTGTTGAGTTCGCGTAGGTCGAGACTTGTATGGTCGACTATTTTTACACTCATATGTCTAATGAGTAGAATAGATTCTTGAAGATTAATAATTATTAGCTAGATAATTGCAGATACACGTACCCAATGTCCGAATTCAAGACATTTCTGGCATTGTGTTTTAGGAGAAGCTTTTGTAGTTGAGGTTGGATACCTATTAATTTGCAAAACAATAAGTATAATATCAAAAAAAAATGAACTACAAATCTTACCTTCTTCCAGGAAAACCGCCTTGATTCATTATCGTTATCGTTATCGAACACGATTATTTAGATCGGCACAATTCAGATAATTTAGAGTTATGATCATGTAATTATGCATTATATGATGTAATCATGCATCATATTGTTAAAATTTTAATTTATAATACCTACATCATTAATTTATATCAGTAATAAAATCTTGCATCATTATCAAGACTAAGGATGCTTGCCAAAATCTTTTTAATAAATGCTGAAATGCCAAAATTCTTATTATAAGTAGTAATTACTATTGTCAAAATGGTGCAGTAATGCCGAAATGGCGCAGTAAATTAATTTCGACATAATAAATAATTTTGGCATTGTCAAAGAATTTTGGCATAAGTAAGTAATTTTGACATTATTAAAGTAATATTAAAATGGTACAGTAATACTGAAATAGTACAGTAAATAAATTTTGACATAATAAATAATTTTGGCATTGTTAAAGAATTTTAGTAATTTTGACATTATTCAAGTAATATTAAAATAATATAATAATGCCAAAATGATATAGTAAATAAATTTGATATAATAAATAATTTTAGTATTGTTAAAAAATTTTGATATAAGTAAATAATTTTGATATTCATCAGGAAATTTCTATACTCGTTGGCAATCGATTTATAACCATGCCCATTGGCAATCAATTATCAACACCCCCATCATTCACCATCGATAGGGATTATAATCAATTGTCAGCGATTAAAATTGATTATAATCGCTGACAATCGATTGCGCTCAAAAATCATCAAAGAACATCGTTAGCAATCGATTGCAACTGCTAGCGATAGAAAATGATGGTGTGTTGATGATCGATTGCCAATGGAAATTGTAAGCAATTGATTGTCAACGAGTTCCGTTCGCAATCGATTG